GCTGGATGGCAGTCTGACAATAAACAGCAGCAGCAGCCTGCAGGCAAGCCCTCGAAGCCTCCTTCCTGGGCTGCTCCCAGGCCCAGCTGACAAATTGACTCCCAAGGGACCTGGGCAGGTGTGTGTGTGAGAGAGAGGTGGGGGGAGAGAGGGGGGGAAGGGAGGGGAGGGAGGGAGGGAGGGGGGGGCGATGTAAAGTACCGGGTAACAACAGGTGGAGGGCAGTGGGGAAGTTTGGAACACTCTATTCTTATGTACTTTTCCTGCTGACCCTGCTTGACCTTGGGAGCTGCATGTTTCCCCAAAGGTTATAAAAGCTTTTCATGTTCCTTGGAGTGCATCTCCTCAGCCTCCCAATGCCCTCCTTGTAAACTGTGGCCCTGCCTTTCATTTGCATGTCTCTTCCCTGTTGTACTATGGTACCAGTACCTTGTCTCTGCCTCTTACCCTTGTTACTTAAGCCTTCGTCTTTGGCTCTTCTCAGGTATCTACAGCTGCCTCTGCACTGTCCTTGGATTTGCAGGAAGTGGAGCCTCTGGGACTACCCCAGGCCTCTCCCAGTCGCACCCGTTCCCCTGATGTGATCTCCTCAGCATCCACTGCCCTGTCCCAGGACATCCCTGAAATTGCATCTGAGGCCCTGTCCCGTGGCTTTAGCTCCTCTGTTCCTGAGGGCCTCATTGAGCCAGACAGTATGGCCTCAGCTGCTTCAGCACTACACTTACTGTCTCCTCGGCCCAGGCAGGGCCCTGAGCTTAGCTCTCAGCTTGGCCTGGATGGAGGCCCTGGGGATGGGGATCGGCATAGTACCCCCTCCCTACTGGAAACAGCCTTGACCCAGGAGGTTGCAGCCCCTGACAGTCAAGTCTGGCCTACAGCACCTGACATTACTCGTGAGACTTGTAGTACCTTGGCAGAAAGGTGAGATGCTCAGAAGGGGGAAAGTATGCTTATGGGAGGGGCATTAGGATTATCCATACTGAGTCATTGTGTTTCCTTAGCCCCAGGAATGGCCTCCAGGAAAAGCACAAAAGCCTGGCCTTCCACCGGCCACCTTACCACCTACTGCAGCAACATGACAGTCAGGATACTAGTGCTGAGCAAAGGTGAGCACCAACTTGCTCTATGCTTTTTCTCTAATAAAGGAGGGCCAGCTGGTGAGCAGGCACTTAGCCCTCCTCTCCTTCCACAGTGACCATGATGATGAAGTTGCCAGCCTTGCTTCTGCCGCAGGGGGTTTTGGCAGCAAAATTCCTACTCCACGGCTGCCTGCCAAGGATTGGAAGACCAAGGGATCCCCTCGGACTTCACCCAAGCTCAAGAGGAAAAGCAAGAAGGATGATGGGTAGGAGGGTTCTGGGACTGGGACCAGGGGTGGTCTCTAAGCTGCCTGATGTGACCTTCAGTGCTCCTTGCCTATGTAGGGATTCAGCTGTGGGATCCCGGCTCACAGAGCACCAGGTATGTAAGGGAGCACCTTTCTATCCATGGGACCCCATCCCATGAGGATGGGAGGGACTTTAAGCTATTCCTTTTTATGGTGGGTGGAGATAAAAGGACAGACATTGTGTTAAGTTGTCAGTGCTTCTGGCAGGTGGCAGAGCCCCCTGAGGACTGGCCAGCATTAATTTGGCAGCAGCAAAGAGAGCTGGCAGAACTATGGCACAACCAAGAAGAGCTGCTACAGCGTCTCTGTGCCCAACTTGAAGGTCTACAGAACACTGTCACTGACCATGTAGAGCGTGCCCTGGAGACCCGGCATGAGCAAGAACGTATCCTTGGGTAGTGGCACAGCATGGCAGTATGGTAGAGCAGCATTCTTGTCTTAGGAGATGCATAGGTCCTGTTCCTTAGCTTCACCACAGAGCGGCGGCTGGAACGAGCACTAGCTGAGGGGCAGCAGCGGGGTGGGCAGCTGCAGGAGCAGCTGACGCAGCAGCTGTCCCAGGCCTTGTCTTCAGCTGTGGCTGGGCGCCTAGAACGCAGTATAAGGGATGAAATCAAGAAGACAGTTCCTCCATGTGAGTTTTTCATGAGATTTCTTTTTGGGTGGGCCATGTGGGTGTGGGAAGCTTTTAAACTTCTTCTGGTTCCCTCTGTCTTTCATAGGTGTCTCCAGAAGTCTGGAGCCTGTGGCAGGTCAACTGAGCAACTCAGTGGCTACCAGACTTACAGTTGTGGAAGGCAGCATGAAAGAGAATATCTCTAAGCTACTCAAGTCCAAGGTGAGACGGGGTCCAAGATGGAAAGTGTGGTTAGGCAGGCCAGACTGGACTCAGGCTTTCAACTTGACCCTCCTTATATTCCAGAACTTGACAGATGCCATTGCCCGAGCAGCTGCAGACACATTACAGGGACCAATGCAGGCTGCCTACCGGGAAGCCTTCCAGAGTGTGGTACTGCCAGCTTTTGAGAAGAGTTGCCAGGCTATGTTCCAGCAAATCAATGACAGCTTTAGGCTAGGCACACAGGAATGTGAGTGGCGTCATAAAACCCAAAGTGGTAAGAGTGGTTGTACTCTTGCTGTCATCCCTTTTACAGTATCTGTTGTCATCCTTTAGATTTGCAGCAGCTAGAGAGTCACATGAAGAGCCGGAAGGCACGTGAACAGGAAGCCAGGGAGCCTGTGCTGGCCCAGCTTCGGGGCCTGGTCAACACACTGCAGAGTGCCACCGAGCAGATGGCAGCTACTGTGTCCAGCAGTGTTCGGGCTGAGGTGCAACACCAGCTGCATGTGGCTGTGGGCAGGTGTGTGGGCAGGGCTCTGGGGGAAGTGGTAGGTTTAGGAAGGGCCAGAACGGGCTTCCTATCCACCTCATCGGTCACTTCCCTTTACAGCTTACAGGAGTCCATTCTAGCACAAGTACAACGCATTGTTAAGGGTGAAGTAAGTGTGGCACTTAAGGAGCAGCAGGCCACCGTCACTTCCAGCATCATGCAGGCCATGCGTTCAGCTGCTGGCACACCTGTCCCTTCTGCCCACCTTGACTGCCAGGCCCAACAAGCCCATATCTTGCAGTTACTGCAGCAGGGCCACCTCAATCAGGCCTTCCAGCAGGTATGACAGCGTTCGGCGTAGTAATCCCCTGACAAAGATGTCTCCTGATAGGTCTACATATCATATGCCCACTCCCCAGCAGACTCCGGGCTGTCTGGCAGACTGGTTCTTTGGCTTTCTAAGCCATTGCCCCTGTTGTTCCGTCATGCTAGACCACTTTCTTCCTACCTCAGCCCACCTTTCCTCGTGACCACCTTTCTCAGGAAAACTTTGTAATCTGATTTTCTTTTCTTTTCTTTTTTTTCTTTTTTATTTTTCGAGACAGGGTTTCTCTGTGTAGCTTTGTGCCTTTCCTGGATCTCCATCTGTAGACCAGATTGACCTCGAACTCACAAAGATCCGCCTGCCTCTGCCTCCCGAGTGCTGGGATTAAAGACGTAATCTGATTTTCTTTTTTTTTTTTGGTTTTTCAAGACAGGGTTTCTCTGTGTAGCTTTGTGCCTTTCCTGGAACTCACTTTGTAGAACAGACTGGCCTCGAACTCACAGAGATCCGCCTGGCTCTGCCTCCCGAGTGCTGGGATTAAAGGCGTGCGCCACCACCGCCCGATGTAATCTGATTTTCTAAAGTGACTTTACAGTCCTGTCCGAGTCTCTGAACATCACTTTTGGTTTAGACTTTGGTCTCCTGCCCTTAGGCCATACACCTCAGATAAGCAGGCATTCCATCCTGGTGTTAGGTATAAGTGTGCTCCCTTGCTCTACTCCAGGCCCTGACAGCAGCTGATCTCAACCTGGTGCTGTATGTGTGTGAAACTGTGGACCCAGCCCAGGTTTTTGGGCAGCCGCCCTGTCCACTATCCCAGCCTGTGCTCCTTTCCCTAATCCAGCAGCTGGCATCTGACCTTGGAACTAGAAGTGACCTCAAGCTCAGGTGAGTGGGGCAGTCAGGGACCAGAAGACAAGCAAGAGGTAGGGAAAGAGAGAGAGCAGTTTGAAGCAGACATCTGCTCTTACCTGACTCCCATCCCTAATTTTTCTATCCGTATGAGGCTTAGAAACTGTCTTTGTCATTATCCCTCTGGGCTTCAGTACCACCAGGGGGCACTCCTACCTGCCGGCATCCAGCTATAACCTGTCCTTTCCCCTACCCCCAGCTATTTGGAAGAGGCTGTGATGCACCTGGACCACAGTGATCCCATCACTCGAGACCACATGGGCTCTGTCATGGCCCAGGTACGCCAGAAGCTCTTCCAGTTCCTGCAGGCTGATCCACACAACTCACTTGGCAAAGCTGCCCGGCGTCTCAGCCTGATGTTACATGGCCTTGCGACCCCTAGCCTCCCTTAGCTGTTTAAACAGAGATGGGGTGACACTGAAGACCAGTCTGCAGGTCTAGGCCAAGGCAGGGCCATGTCTGCTGGTTACCTGCCCAGACCTCCATCTCTCGTGTTTGGAGGGAGGTAGGGGGCAGGACACACTGGTAGTGGTCTACTGATTGTGGTAACCAACCGGGTTAGGCTGGGCCCAGGGTAGGTATTGTGCCTTCTTGGGTCCTGCCATGCCTGAAGCATGACCCCAAGATCGTGATACCACTTGAGTTGAATTTTCCATGTTCCTTTTTACCTCTAATTTGGATCTTTTTGTTTTTGAAAAACATCGAGAAATTCAATTAAAGGCTTTTGGAATAAAACAAAGTATGTGTATGGTTTTGATTTGTCTTTGGTGTGACTAACTGTTCTCTCCTCCATCTGGGAAATCTGTCTAAACCAGCCCACCCTGGGGGTCCCCTGGCACCCATTCTCATCTGATAAACTGTCTACTCATATCTCCCCTGTCCAGTTCAAGCAAAGCTCCTCGAGCCAGCTCAGCATCGACAGGTCTCCTCCCTAGGCGATTTTGCCCTCTGGGGTCCTTCCTTGCTCCCCTGCCAATCTGGATACTGGAGGTGGGGCTGACAGCGAGGCCCCGCCTCCAGCTCCCATCCAATCAGGATCCCTTCCTCCGGGGGCTGGGCCCACAGGCGGCTCTCCAAGCCTCTAGCTCCTGCACTAGGCTTAGAGCCAGGGATGATGTGCTGCTGCCACCACTGCCACTGGCGCTGCCGCTGTCAGCGGCGACCCTGTGCCCTGACGCTGTTGCTGCTGCTGCCACTGCCACTGGGTGAGTGCGAGCGTCCTGAGCCCAGGCCGCAACCCTTCTCGCAGGTCATAGGCAGACGGGATATAGGGTGTTGGAGCAGAGGGGTTAGAGTCGAGCCCAACAGTAAGAGCTCTAGGAAAGTGTGATAGTGGTTTCAGGTGGACAGTGTCCTGCCAACAGCTCAGTCGTGGGGGAAGAACTTTTAAATTCTGTAGCCCCTTTTCTGACAAAGGGAGTTTGTGGCCCCTAGTAGAACTCAGGCCATGGATCCCTGAGCTTAGAGTGACTAGCTTTGGTCCCCACCCTGCTTGCTCGGCTTCAGCAGAGACACTTGTCTTTGGGAGAGGCAACGGGGGGTGCCAGTTGAAGCTCATGAAAACTACAGAAAGACTGCCTTCTGCCCAAAACTTCATGCTTCCAGAGCCTATACCCCTGCATCCCTGTCTTTGACCTAGAGCCCCAGAAACTAGAGAAGGAACTGAGCTCTGGACCCAACGCCCCCTTCCTGTTCCCACATCTCACACCTCCATGTGCATCACAGTCCAGATCCTATCTTGAGAGTCAAGACAAGTGATCTCCAGATACCTTGAAGTTCCCTGGGGGCACCTCTTTCTCCCTGAGTCATGTCCCCAGAGCACTACCAGGTAAACAAGGTCCTGACGAATGGACCCTGGCTCATTCTCTCAACCATTCTCCATTCCCACCCCACTCCTAGTCTTTGTACCCCATCTAGCTGTGGCCTCTGAGGGCCTAAACCGCTGTGATACCATATACCAAGGCTTTGCTGAGTGTCTCATCCGCCTGGGGGACGGCATGGGCCGTGGAGGCGAGCTACAGACCGTCTGCAGGTACCAGCAGGTGGGAGGCATGGGCCGGTGGGAGGCACCACCCAATAATCTGTGCCACTGGGCTAGCAACCGCAGGGCCTTGACTCTCTTCCCACTCTGAAATCTGCTCTAACTCCCCTAACCCCATTCTGTAACAGATCCTGGAACGACTTCCATGCCTGTGCTTCTCGGGTCCTGTCAGGCTGCCCAGAGGAGGCCGCTGCAGTGTGGGAGTCACTGCAGCAAGAAGCTCGCCGTGCCCCCCACCCAGATAACTTGCACGTCCTCTGTGGCGCCCCTGTGAGTGTTCGGGAGATGGTTGCTGGCCCAGAGACCAACCAGGAGACACTGCGGGCCACAGCTCCCGCCCTCGCTCCAGCCCCGGCCCCTTCATTGTTTGCTGCTGCTCTGGCACTTGCCTGCCTCCTGGGGCCTCTGGCCTAAACCGTCTGGTTGGCTAGCCAACAGTGCCCTTGCCTCCCATCACTGCCTGCAGTGGCCGCCGTGTGGGCTCTGCAGAGTGTGCATAATTTCCATTAAAGGTATTTATATTTGCATCAAGCTGGTTTCTTTCTCCTAGCTGTGGCCCTCTTGGCAAAGGCAGGGGCCCCCAGAAGCCGATCCCAGCATGGAATGGGTGTGGCTCAGGACCTCCACAAGGGACTCATTCATCCTTACAAACATTTATTTCATGATGGCCGCGTTGAAGTTTCTTTCCATTACACTATAGATCCCAGGAGTACCTTGGGTCCCAAGAGCCCTAGTAGAGACCAGATCTGCCGGAATGCACAGCCCTTCTGGGCCTTCCCAACCCGACAGGGATGGGGGGGGGTGGGGATCCAGTGGAGTCCAGAACTCACCCCTAGTGGCTAGGTGAGGTCTTTCTCAGGCTCCTTGTAGCCTCCTGATGCCTTACCTGCACCTCCCTCTGCTAAACTATCACCTCAGCCTTCAAGACATGCGCAGCAGACTCAGTGCTCAGTCTTCTCTCTGCGGTCTGGACTGGACTGTCCAAAGGGAAGCCCCTGAGTCCACATGCAAACCCCTGACAGGATCTGAAGTTACACAAGTTGAAGCCATAACAAGGGGTGGGTGGTCTGGCTCCTGCTGTCCAGAAGCTTGCTCTTTGGGGTTTGCAGTGAAGAAACAAAATGATTCAAGAAGGTGTTTTGGAAGCAATAAAATGAGAAAATATGTGGTGTGTGGAGAGCCCCTTTTCATTCCAGTGGGGCCAGAAGAACAGAGAAGGTTAACACGGTGTCTTTTTTTTTTTTTTCTTTTTTTAAGATAGGGCCTTCTTTTGTAGTTTTGACTAGCCTGGAATTCACTATGTAGACCAGGCTGGCCTCAAACTTGGAGTGATCCTCCTGCCTCTACCTTGGTGCTGGGATTACAGGCATATGCTGCCATTCCTAGCCTTAAACACTATGACTTGTGGACTTTGCCATGCTGCTTCATTGGCTTCTGTTATTCACTCCCTCTACTTTCTGGGTTGAGAAACTGATGCTTGTGTTAAGCTCCTTCCCTCTTACCTACAAGGTCTTGCATAAACCATTTCTGTATTCCTGCAGAACCAGCTCTACCTACCTAGTCCTTGAGGACAGGAAGTAGCACATGGGACATGATCGCTCATATGGACAGCAACCTTCTAAGTGGTTTGGAAAGGCTAGGCAAAGTATTTGCCACTCAAGCATGCGGACCTCAGTTTGACCCCTAGGACCTAGGTAAAAAGTCAGTGTGGTGGCATGCACTTTCATCCTTGAGAAGGCAGAAACAAGTAGATTTCTGGGGCCTGCTGGAGAGCCAGCCTAGCCTAATCTGTGAGCTCCAGGCCACTAAAAGAGCCTATGTCAAAAACAATGTAAATGCCACCTGAGGAATGACACCCAGGTTGACTTTGGAGAACACACACACACACACACACAGGCCAGTGAGACAGCTTGGCACTCGGAGAGTAAAGCCATATGGTAGAAGGAGAGATCTGACTCTGATGAGTTATCCTCTGACCTCCACATAGGAACGGTTGTATGTGTGCACATGTACTCATGTATAAGGAAATAATAAGGTGACAGGTGGTGGTGTCGCACACCTTTAATCCCAGCACTCAGGAGGCAGAAGCAGGTGGATCTCTGAGTTCAAGGACTTCCTGGTCTACAGAGCAAGTTCCAAGACAACCAGGGTTATACAGAGAAACGTGTCTTAAAAAACAAAACAAGCAAACAAAAAATAGATAAAAATCAAAATTTGTCATAAACAAAAAAAGAAGTAGTACAAGAAAGGTGAGCTGATGTGGAGAGGGATTTATAAAAGAGAAATGACATGGCGGGGGAGGAGAAACAGGTGTAATGAACTTTGTTTAGACCTGAGGTGACAGGTGCCTCTAGAGACCTCTTCCCAAGGATACAGGAGGAACCCTACCTCTCCCAGCTTCCTAAACATTCTCCCACTATGGCTGGCTCGACCCTGCCATTAACGACCCTTCTCTCTACCCTGACTGTACCCTTGTTCCCACACTTTACTGACCCAGTTTTTTTTTTTCAAAATTTTATTTTTATTTAGGTGCATTCATTTTATATGCATGAATGTTTTGCCTGCATTTATTTATGTGTACCATGTGTGTGCCTGGTGCCCTCAGAGTTCAGAGGAGGGTGCCACATCTGGAATTGGAGTTGTGGAAGTTTGTGAGCTGCCACAGGGGTACTGGGAACGGAACCTTGGTATCCACTAGAACTCCAAACCTCTGAGCCAGCTCTCTAGTCCCTCGTCGACACAGGTTCTGAGGCCCACCTCTATCAACCAGTTGCTGTTAACCTCTTCTTACTCTTGAAGGAGGAAATCCTGAGCCAGGCTGTGGTGGCACACAGCCTGGCTTCTAATCCCAGAACTCAGAGGCAGGCGGATCTCTGAGTTCCAGGACAGCCTGGTCTACAGAGAGAGTTCCAGGACAGCCAGGATTACACAGAGAATCCTGTCTCAAAATAACAACAAAACCCCAGCAAAACAAAAACAAAGCAAAACAACCAAAACACACACACACACACACACACACACACACACACACACACACACACACACACACACACATACACATACACACATACACACACACACACACACACACACACACACACACACACCAAAAAAAAAAAAAAAAAAAAAAAACAAAACAAAACTCTACAAAACCAAAAATCCTGAATCTGCTGCCTTTGACCACCAGAAATTTTCTGGAAGAACAATGGCATTTCCATTTTGGTGGGGGGTGTATCTTTTTTGTGGGGAGTCTCACTATGTAGTCCTGGCTGTCCTAGAATTCATCACATAGACCAAGCTGACCTCAAATGCATAAAGTCCTGCCCACTTCTGCTACTTGAGTACTGGAACTAAAGTTGTGTAGCACCTTGCTAGGGCTATATATCTGTTTTACAAAATGCATTTAGTGTGTGTGTGTGTGTGTGTGTGTGTGTGTGTGTGTGTGTGTGTGTGTCTGTGTGTCTATGGGTATGAGTGCTTGTGGTATGCCACAGGACACATGGGGAAGTCAAAGGATAACTAGCAGGAGTCAATTCTCTCCTTCCACTATACAGATTATGGGGATTGAACCATGCTTGGCAACTATCTTGCTGGCCCTGTACATCTACATTTTTTATTAGAATATCCTTTCCTAGTTCTTTCTCTCTCTCTCTCTCTTTCTTTCTTTTTCCGAGACAGGGTTTCTCTGTGTAGTTTTGGTGCTCTGTAGACCAGGCTAGACTTGAACTCACAGAGATCTGCCTGGCTCTGCCTCCCGAGTGAGTGCTGGGATTAAAGGCATGTGCCACTGACCCCCACTGCCCCCCCCCCCGTAGTTCCTAGTTCTTCTTGGCCAATAAGAAACAGCTATATCTTGCTTAGTATCACCTCTTCTAGGAAGTATTCTGTAACTCTGAATGTAAGCTGAATTAAACTACCTCTAGATAGACACAGAACTTGTGCTTTTCCCTGTCTCTGTATAAAACTGGTTTATAATCACCCAAGTCCCAGTGAAAATTCCCAAATGTGGACTCCTCAAAGGTAAGGGGTACTTTTTGTGTCTCTGGCACCCAATATAAAGAGTGCACTATGGGGTCTGGAGAAATGGCTCAGTGGTTAAGAGCACTGGTTGCTCTTCCAAAGGACCCGGTTCAATTCCCAGCACCCACATGGCAGCTCACAATTATCTGTAACTCCAGCTCCAGGGGATCCAACACCCTCACACAGATATACATGCAGGCAAAACACTGATGTACAGAAAATAAAAAGAATAAATTATAAAAAAAAAAGAAAGCGTGCACTATGGAGTATGGGGAATGAAAGAATCTAGGCATTGTTATGGTCAGTAAGACCTTGGACTGAGAATAAATCCAGTGTACAGGATATGTTATTTTGGGACATCTCCCTCAGTCTGGGCATATGGTTTGGGGGGTGGGATATGCTGGGGCTTCAGGTCCTAAAAGTTTTCTAGACCAGGTAAATGGCCAGGAGCAGCATGCTTCTCTGAGCAGGGCTGGCTGCTCTGGCCAGCCATTGTTGGGGATTACCATCCTCATAAGTGACCTATTTTTACCCTGATGTTTCACTCCCTAAGTCCCTACTCTTCCATGGGCTGGGTTGGGAGGATAAGTGGGGGAAGAATTTGCTCTCTGGTCAGGGGCTTAAAGGCTTTATGGGTTTTATCTCAGAGCTAGAGCAGAGGGGTGGGATGATAGCCAAGATGCCGGGGCCTGGGCACAGCTGCCTAGGCCTGAGCATTAGTGACAGTGTTCTACAGCTGTAGGTCTATAGGCAAAGTATAATTTATTGTCCAGATGTTCTGGGTCCAGCTGCCATCACATTAGCATACTTCCAATGCCACGCCTGTGCTTTTCCTTATAGCCCAAACCATGGTGAATATTTGAATAAATATTTGTTAATTTATTTGCCAAATATCTGTCAAATGAATGTGATGTTTAGATTTCTGACTGTCATCAACCCTGGAATTCTATATTATTTTTTACTTTTTTTTTCAGACAGGGTTTCTCTGTGTAGCCCTGGCTATCCTGGAACTCTCTCTGTAGACCAGGCTGGCCTCAAATTCAGAGATCTGCCTGCCTCTGCCTCTCCAGTACTGGGACTAAAGGTGTGCACCACCACCGATTGGTTATATAGGTTTATAATCATAATAAGACTAGGGAAAAAAAAGACTAGGAAAAACAGTATGTAAAGTGGTGTGAGGGAGATGTCTTCCCTAAGAGTTCATACAACAGTGGAAATGTCAGAACTGAGATTTGATCGCAGGTTTGGTCCCAAAGTCAATGTTCTTTTTTAAGACAAGGTCTCACTGTGCAGCAGCCCTGGCTGTCCTGTCTCTATATAAACTATGCTGGCCTTGAAGCCACTTGTTTCTATATTGACCATGCTGGCCTTGGAACCTCTGAAGATACACCTGCCTCTGTTTCCCCAAGTGCTGGGACTAAAGGTGTGCATCATGAAGTTTGTTAAAGTCCATGTTTTTAGTAATTCCACTACACTTTGGGAGACAATTTTCATTGTTGCTATTTTGAAATAAGGTCTCAGTTTATATTCCAGGCTGACCTAGAACTCATATAGCCTAGGTATTCTTGACCTCTCACTGCAATACTTCATTAAATTCCTGAGTGCCAGGATTACAGGTGTGTGTAAACACACTGGTAAATTTTTTTTTTTTGAGACAGGACATCAGCATGTAGCCCAGGCTAGCCTCAAACTCAAGCCTTTCTTGTTGCTGCTTCCAAAGTACTAGGATTACAGGCTACAAGTACCAACATATTAGGCTTTGAAACAACTTTTTTTTTTTTTTTGAGACAGGGTTTCCCCGCGCAGTTCTGGCTGTCCTGGAACTCAGCGATCCATCTGCCTCTGCACACACACACACACACACACACACACACACACACACACACACACCCTGATTGCTGGGATTAAAAGGCCTGTGCCACCACGCCCAGATTGCTAAGGATCTTTTAGAAATCTTTAAGGCCTGGTCTACAAAGCGAGTTCTGGGACAGCCAGGGCTATACAGAGAAACCTTGTCTTGGGGGGAAAAAAGAAAAGAAGAAAAAACACCCACAACTGTCTAGAAGTTGTTCCAAAACTGACTTTTCCACAATTCAGAAATGAACTGCCGTAATTAACACATCTGTTTGTCTGAAGTTGTTTCAATCGCAATTTTAAAAATAAATTTTAAGACTAGCGTGTAATCCAGTATTCCAGGAGGCCGAGAGAGAAGGAAGGATTTGCGAGAGTTCGTGCCCGGCTTGGACTACATAGTGTGTATTCCTGGTCAGCCAGAGCGACAGAGTCAGATCGAGTTTCAGATAAAACAGAACAAACAGATTTAATTAATGAAATCTATGTCAGCCATCTGCGGAGATCCACAAGCAGCTGGAGAAACCTCTGTGCTCCCTGTGTTCTCTCCTCGCCTTTCAAGAGCCCCTTCGTCTCGATAATCTTTGACATTTCCTCCCAGATGCTCTCAGTCTTTACGTTTCCCAGCACACTTCCCTCCCGCCGCCCTCCCCTAGCGGCTTCGAGCCACAAACAGACCCACCCCCCGGGAGAGCCCTTCTCCGCCCGGAAGACGTTGATTGGCAGGCCCTCCGAGGACGCCCACCGCGTACACCGACCGGAGCGTCCGCCTCGCTCCCTGCCCGTAGGCCGCCCAAGTTTGTTTTGGCGTCAGGCGCGCGCAGTAATGACGCCACGACGCTGACGCGGGAGGATGGCGGCGGCGTCCGTGGCCTGGGCTGGGAGACGGTGGGCTGAGCCGCCGAGACTCCGAAGAGCCCGCCGCTCGCGCGAGGTGAGGCCTTCTTCCGGCTCGGGGCTTCGGCCTGACCGGCGTGAGGGGCTGGCGAGCTCGGCCGCGGCGTGGGCTTGGCGCTGCCGGGCCGCCGCAGTGCAACTCCGAGCCCTCGGCCCCCGTGCACTGGGGCCTCCGGGCTGGGGAGCAGGCCGGGCCGTGGCTACCCACGGTCGCCTGGCATGGCCTCAAAACCTGCGGCGGCGTTGGGCCCGATGGACTTGGTCAGCTGCTCAGCCGTCCCGCGTCCAGCGCGGGTCAGGTTGATCTTAACCTTGTGTGCGGCGCCTGCTCCCACACCCTTCCTTTGCGAGTAAACGCCAGGGTCGTGCGGGGGCCATCGATCGCTCCCCTGTACTCGCTGGAAAAAGGGCCAGAGTCCAGCTGGGTCGCTTGCACGACAAACCGGTCATACTTACAAGGAGAGCCCCATCCCCGCTCAGTCCTCTACGAAGAAGCTACTGCAGTGATTAATTCCCTCCCCCAAATCACTAGTTAAAGCTGCCTCCCTAGTCACTGTAGGGAAAAACTAAACCTTGTACCTTGCGGCATTCAGAGCTCTTCATAATGTGATGAGGCCTAGCCCTACAGTCAACTTTTGGGCACTGTACTGCGCGTTTATGTAGTGTATTGTTGAGGCATGTGAGCCTCCTGTTAGCTCCGTGGTTTCATACCCTTGAGGTTCAGATAAGCTGCTTTCTCGGTTTGTGAAACTCTTCTTTCATTCCACCCTCCCCCACCAGTATAGGAAACTTACATGTGTCCTTTAAAATCTACCAGCGATGTCTTTTCCTTGGAACACTCCCTTGCTTTCACATAGTGGTAGTGTTTGGTTAAAGCTACTGTGACACTGTCTTTTGAATGGATACAGATTAAGCCATAGTATGGAGCGTCTGTCATAGCCAGCATCTGAGGTAGTCTTAGCAAACACCTATGTGTGTGATAGGTGCTGCATCCTCTTCAATCTTAATGACCTAAAACTGTCTTGGAGGAATTTTTCAAGATACAAACTCAAGAGTTTTACTCTCTTTTAATTTTTTGAGACAGGGTTTCTCTGTGTAGCTTTGGAGCCTTTCCCAGAACTCACTCTGTAGCCCAAGCTGGCCTCGAACTCAACAGAGATCCGCCTGCCTCTGCCTCCCGAGTGCTGGGATTAAAGGAGTGTGCCACCACGGCCCAGCTAAGAGTTTTACTCTTAGTAGAAATGGTGGGATACAGGCAGGCAGTGGTGGCATATACCTTTAATCCCAGCATTCGGGAGGCAGAGGCAGGAGGATCCAAGACAGCCAGGGCTGTTACACAGAGAAACCCCGTCTTAATTAAAAAAAGAAAGAAAGAAAAAAAAAAAGGTAGGATATACTTCTAATCCCGACATTCATGAGATGAAGGCAGGATAATTAGTAAAGGCCAGCCTAGGTTACACAGTAGGTTTAGGACCATGAGATCCTGTCTCAAAAACAACCTAAAGCCCTGGTAATGGGGTGCATACCTGGGATCACCGCACTCCACAGGCAGAAGCAACAGGATGCTCAAAAGTTGAAAGACAATCTGATACGGGTTCGAGGCTCTCTTGGGGGAAATTGATTTCACTGTTTTTTGTTGTTGTTGATGGTGGAGATTGAACTCAGGGCCTGTACTTTTATCACTTAGATGATAGTAAGCTACATGGTCAGCTTATGATTTGGTTTCAGAAGTTGTGTGGTAGCTCAAATGCTATAATCCCAGCATTAGGGAAACTGAAGGAGGAGGATTACCTTGGGTATGAAGCTATCCCAGACTGTATATCGAGTACCATGTCAGCCAGGGCTGTATAGTGAGACCCCATCTCATAAAACAACAAAAACAGGAAAGAACCAAGACATGAGATAGAAATCTGTATTTTTAAAGTTTTTAAGTCTTCCTCCCCCTGTATGGAGATTGATCCCAGGGTGTTTTGCATTCTACCAACTGAGCTGAATCCCCATTTCAGAAATCCCCATTTCAAAAGCAGGGCATGGTGGTGCACATCTGTAATCCCAGCATTCTAGAGGCTGAGGCAGGAGGATTGCTATGAGTTTGAGGTCAGTCTTGCTTGTATGGTGAGTTCCCCAGACCATCTTGGACTACAGAGTAGGACCGTCCCTTGAAAAGAAAATGAAAAAAGGCTGAAGCTAATGACATTACTACACTTCTTGGATGAAAATTTTGTGTTATTGCCTCAGGAAGCTACTGGTCTTGTAGACTTGTGTTGTGGATTCATTACCCAGACCTTGGGAAGACTTTGAAGACCTAAATTAGATTACTGGCTTTTTTGTTGTTGTTTTTCGAGACAGAGTTTCTCTGTGTAGTCCTGGCTGTCTTGGAACTCACTCTGTAGACCAGCTGGCCTCGAACTCACAGAGATCCTGCCTCTGCCTCCCGAGTGCTGGGATTAAAGGCGTGCGCCACAGCTGCAGAGCCAATTACTGGCTTTTTAGGATCCTGAGAGTCTTTCAGTTCTATTTGCCCAGATCCAAAATAGGAGAGTCATGTTTACTTCAGTAGATCTCAGTAGATTGCAGATGGGTGAGCTAGCACACATGAAATGCTTAGTACAGTTGAAATCCTCTAAGTCGAAGCCAGTTTACCATAGTGCCTTTCGTCACTTTTTTTCCTTTCAGTGGTGGGTGTTAAATCCAGGACCTATGCGTACTAATCAAATAATGTCAATTATACTACTGAGCTATTGAGCTAGCTCCAGAAATTCTCATCTTTCTGCCTCTCTCTCTCTCTCTCCCTCTCTCTCTCTCTCTCTCTCTCTCTGGAAATTTTCATCTTTGTGTGTGTGTGTGTGTGAGAGAGAGAGAGAGAGAGAGAGAGAGAGAGAGAGTATGAGAGAGAGAATGGGTGTGTGTATGAGAGTGTATGAGAGAGAGAGTGTGTGCGTGAGAATGTGTGTGTATGTGAGAATGTGTGTGTGTATGAGAGTGTGTGTGTATGAGAGAGAGTATGTGTGTGTGTGAGAGAATGTGTGTGTGTATGTGAGAGAGAGTGTGGATGTGAGAAAGAGAATGTGTATGTGAGTGTGTGTGTGAGAGAGAGTGTGTGTGTGAGAGAGAATGTGTGTGTGTATATGAGAGAGAGTGTGTGTGTGTATGTGAGAGAAAATGTGTGAGAGAGAGTGTATGTGTATGTGAGAAAGAGAGAATGTGTGTGTGTGTATGTGAGAGAGAATGTGTGTGTGTGTGTGAGAGTGTGTGTGTGTGTGTGTGTGTGTAGGTGACAGTTGGTTCCTTCCGCATGTTGTCAGTCTCAGGTTGTCAGTCTCAGCAGCAGGTGCCTTCACCCACTGAACTCTCCTGCCAGCCCCATTGTGGTTGATGGTTTTGTTTTGTTTTTCCCTAGTACTGAGTGTTGGACCTGGTCAAGAACTCTAGCAGTGAGGTATTGCCCCAGCCCTCTTCTTCACTTTTGGTTTTGAGATAGGATTTTACTAAGTTGCCAAGGCTGGTCTTGAACTCACTCTGCAGCTAAGAGAGGTCTTGAGATTTTCCTACCTCAGCTTCCTGAGTAGCTTGGATTATGGGCCTTGTCCACCAGGCCAAGAAAATGTCATCTTTTAAAGTTATTCTTCATATTGAAGTGTGTGTAGAAAGCTGCCTTGTGTTTTGTGGTTTCTTCAAGGTCACTTCTAGGCATCAGAGAACTCTGATGGCACTGCTTCTCATCAGATAGATGCAGTTGGCCACTCCCTAGAAGGGCTTTGGGATCTTAACGCACTAGAGGATAAGTTTGCTGAGTAAGCAAGTTCTCTAGGTCTAATTGTGATCCTGTGCTAAAATTGTATAAATGAGCCAGAGAAAGTTCAACCTCCAGGAAACTTGTTTGCCTTTGACAGTGAGCTGTAGTTTCACATCTCTGATTTTCTTGGCACTTGGGACAGAATGCCCTTGAAGCTCCGAGTGCCTGTGGAATTTGAAATAGATGCTGAGGTCTTGTGTCAGAGTCACAAGGTCATAGTTAACTGAGTGAGAGTTTGATTTGGCCTGTTACTTGGCTTTGTAGTATGAGCGTGTTATATGAGCAGCTCTGCCCTGCCTCAGCGCTTAAGCAGCTGTGTGATGATGTGACCGTTCTGTAAGCAGCTGAAACCATTGACCCTTACACTGCAGTGGAGCTGAGAGCAGCTGTCTCCATTGGTCCATTGCACAGCAGTGCCATTCTCTGCCCATCTTGGCATATGGAGAAAACCTGAGAAGTAAAGCTCTAGAAAGAGGTAAGCAATCCTGATTATTGAGAGCTGGAAAGAGGCTTATCTAAACACCCTTCCCTTCCAGAAATCTTAGTATTAGATTGGCTAGGTCATCACTGCACTGATTTTTGATACAATTGCATTGTCAGGGTATTAGATGTTAACGTAATGAAAACGTGATGTTTTCATTTGCTGTAAGGAAATAACCTGAGAGACTTTCAGGCTACAGGTTTGAAGTGGCCTTTCAGGGCATCATAAGAATGATGGTCAGCCGGGCTTAGTGACACACACCTTTAATCCTAGCACTTGGGAGGCAGAGGCAGGCAGATCTCTGTGGGTTCTAGGCCTGTCTGGTGGTCGCCGCCGCCGCCGCCGCCGCCGCCACCACCACCACCACCACCACCACCACCTGGCTTATTGTTATTTTATGCACTTTGGTGTTTTGCCATGGGTGTTGGGTTCCCTGGAACTAGAATTACAGACAGTTGTGAGGTGCTATGTGGGTGCTAGGAATTGAACCCAGGTCCTCTGGAAGAACAGCCAGTGCTCTTAACCCCTGAGCCATCTCTCCAGCCCCCATATCTGTATTTCTGATGGTGGGGTGTCTTAGAGTTGGGCAACATGACAAAGTGAGGAACATAAAGGAAACTTTGGAAATCTCACTGTCAGCAAGATGGGGTTGCTGTCTACCACTGTTACCATGGAGGACAGTGTGTTCAGCTGTAGTCCTTGGACAGTGGGGTCTCAAGATAACTATTTTCTAATGAGAAGTCATAGCTGGGCATGGTGCTGTAAGACTATGGTGCCAGCTACTCGGGGCTGAGACAGAGGGATTGCTTGAGCTTAGGAGTTTAAGACCAGCAAGGGCAATATACACCCCCATCTCAAAAAATAATAAGGGAATGAGTAAATAATAAAACTGTAACAATTGTGGCAGCACACATCTTTAATCCCAGCATTCGAGAGGCAGAGGCAGGCAGATCTCTGAGTTTAAGGCTGCCCTGGTCTACACAGTGAGTTCTGGGACAGCCAGGACTACACAGAGAAACTATCTAAAAAAAAAAAAAATAAATAAAATAAATAAATAATAATAATAAAAAAGCAAGAGAAAAAGATAACAATCATTAATGATATTAAAAGTTAAAAGCCAGGTGCTGTGGATGATTGATTGATAAATAAAATACTGATTGGCCAGTAACCAGGCAGGAAGTATAGGCGGGACAAAGAGAGAGGAGAAATCTGGGAAGTGGAAGGCTGAGGCAGAGAGATGCTGCCAGCCTCCGCTATGAAAAGCGAGATGTAAAGTACCAGTAAGCCATGAGCTACGTGGCAACTTATAGATTAATAGATATGGGTTAATTTAAGATGTAAGAACTAGATAGCAAGAAGCCTGAGCCATTAGACCAAACAGTTTATATAATATAAGCGTCTGTGTGTTTATTTTATAAGTGGGCTGCGGGACTACAGGGGCTTGGCAGAATCCGGAGAGAAACTCTTCGGCTACAGCCAGGCATGGTTATACACATCTGTAATCTTAGCACTTGGGAGGCTGAGGCAGGAGAATTCCATGTTCAAAACCAACCTGAGCTAAATAGGGAGACCCTATTTCAAAACAACAGAAAATGCCCCTTGAAAGTTAAAACATAAGAGAAAGTGACATATAAGTGCTCCCCTCCCCCCCAAGACAGGGTTTCTCTGTGTAGTTTTGGTGCCTGTCCTGGACCTTGCTCTGTAGACCAGGCTGGCCTCGATCTGCCTGGCTCTGCCTCTCGAGTGCTGGGTTTAAAGGGGTGCATCAACACCGTCTGGCACATAAGTGCTTTTTAGGAACAAGTGCTGTTTTACTTCCTGATTAAAAAATTTTTTTGAACATAAAAACAGGTTATAATTCAAAAGTCCAGGGTTATTTGAAACTGGGAAATATTTTTTCTGTAGAAAATAATAAAAATGATACCATTTCCTAGTAAGCCCTTTTAAGCCAAATTATAGCTGAATTATATATATAAATATTGGTTAGATTCTGGGATACAGAAGAAACCTTTCTTCATCTGTTCAGAGAGCTATGTTTTATTTAAGTTGTGTGAGATTCCTATTCATCTTCCCCTTCACTGATTTATGGCAGACATTTTTCTATAGGCTAATCCATAATCTAAAAACATTTTAGCCTCCCCTCCTGGAAGTGCAGCCAGCATTTTCTTTTATCAGCTTGGATACGAAACAAATTCTTATCCTAATAGTGAAATGTTTCACTAAAGCTTGCCCAGTGATTGGGCAAAACGAAAACTTATTATAAGCCACAGTCATCCTAAGATTCCCCCCTGTAAGGTAGCCTCCCTGAATCTGTGGGTTTCACTTATGAGTGAGTACATACCATGTTTATCCTTCTGGGTCTGGGTTACCTCACTCAGGATGATATTTTCCAGTTCCATCCATTTTCCTGCAAAATTCATGCTGTCATTCTTTTTCTCTGCTGAGTAGTACTCTGTTGTGTATATGTACCACATTTTCTTAATCCATTCTTCAGTTGACTGACATCTAGGTTGTTTTCAGGTTCTGGCTATTACAAATAATGCTGCTATGAACTTAGTTGAGCATGTATGTTTGTGGTATGATTGAGCATTCCTTGGGTATATGCCCAAGAGTGGTATGGCTGGGTCTTGAGGTAGATCGATTCCCAATATTCAGAGAAACGGCCATACTGATTTCCACAGTGGTTGTACAAATTTGCACTCCCAACAACAGTGGAGGAGTGTTCCCCTTGCTCTGCATCCTCTCCAACATAGACTGTCATTAGTGTTTTTGATCATAGCCATTCTGACAGGTGTAAGGTGGTATCTCAGAGTGATTTTGATTTGCATTTCTCTGATGACTAAAGATGTTGAGCATTTCCTTAAATGTCTTTCAGCCATTTGAGATTCTTCTTCTGAGAATTCTCTATTTAGCTCTGTAGCCCATTTTTTAATTGGATTGTTCAGTATTTTGATGTCTAGTTTCTTGAGTTCTTTATATACCCTGGAGATCAGTCCTCTGTCAGATGTGGGGTTGGTGAAGGTCTTTTCCCATTCTGTAGGCTGTCTTTTTGTCTTATTGACTGTGTCTTTTGCCCTACAAAAGCTTCTCAGTTTCAAGAGGTCCCATTTATTAATTGTTGTGCTCAGTGTCTGTGCTGCTGGTGTTATATTTAGGAATTGATCTCCTGTGCCAATGCATTCAAGAGTACTTCCTACTTTCTCTTCTATCAAGTTCAGTGTAACTGGATTTATGTTGAGGTCTTTGATCCGTTGGACTTGAGTTTTGTGCATGGTGACAGGGTTTATTTGCAGTCTTTTACATGTTGATATCCAGTTATTAATTAAAAAAAACTTGCCGGGCGGTGGTGGCGCACGCCTTTAATCCCAGCACTCGGGAGGCAGAGGCAGGCGAATCTCTGTGAGTTCGAGGCCAGCCTGGTCTCCAAAGCGAGTTCCAGGAAAGGCGCAAAGCTACACAGAGAAACCCTGTCTCGAAAAACCAAAAAAAAAAAAACAAAAAAAAAAAACAAAAAAACTTTATGGGATACCAGGCGGTGGTGGCACATGCTTTTAATCCCAGCACTCAGGAGACAGAATCAGGTGGATCTCTGTGCATTTGAAGCCAGCCTGGTTTACAGAGCGAGTTCTAGGACAGCCAGAGCTGTTACACAGAGAAACCCTTTCTTGAAAAAAAAAAAAACAACAAAAACCCAAAGGGTCTAGATAGATGGCTCAGTGGTTAAGGGCCCTGGCTGCTCTTCCAGAGGATCCACGTTTGATTCTCAGCAACCACATGGCTATTCACAACTGTATGTAACTCCAGCCCCAGGAAATCTGATGCCCTCTTCTGATATGCATGGCCACCAGGTATGCATGTGGTGCACAGACATACATTCAGGCAAAACATCCATACACATAAAAAGAAATAAATTTAGTTTATTTTTTTTGTTGTTTTTCTGAGACAGGGTTTCTCTGTGTAGCCCTGGAACTTGCTCTGTAGACCAGGCTGGCCTCAAGCTCAGAGATCCACTGCCCTCTGCTTCCCGAGTGCTGGGGTTAAAGATATGTGCCACCACCATTTATATAAAATAAATGTTTATTTTCTACTTAAAATAAATTTTAAAAGTTAATTATTTTAAAATAAAAAACACTACCAACAAAATGGGGCTGGGATACAGCTCGTTGGTGAGCAACTGCCTTGCATGTGTGAGGCCTTTGGATTTAACCTCCTCAATAACAAGGAAAAAATGTATCTAAGAGGAGGAGGAGGAGGTGCAGCTCAGTTGGTAGGTGGAGTGTTTGCCTCGCATGTAGGAAGCCCTGGGTTCAATCTCTAGCACCTCGTAAGAGGGGCATGGGGTGCAGGCCTGTGATCTCAGTACTTTGGAGTAGAGGGAGGAGGATCAGGAGCTCAAAGTCGTCTTGTCTATATAGTAAGTTCAAGGCCAGCATGGGCTGAGAGCCTCCCAAAACAATAAATAAAAAGAGTATACATTTAGGTTTATTCTACAGTAAGTCACAGGTATGGATCCTGGTATATAGTATCAATATATTTTTTTTTTTTTTTGGCTTTTTGAGACAGGGTTTCTCTGTGTAGCTTTGGAGCTTGTCCTGGAACTCACTCTGTAGTCCAGGCTAGCCGCGAACTCACAGAGATCCGCCTGCCTCTGCCTCCCGAGTGCTGGGATTAAAGGTGTGCGTCACCACCGCCCGGCTAGTATCAATATTTACTTGTATCTTTCTTGCGCTCTCCTTTCTGGTGCTGAGGGCTGGCACAAATTAGGCAAGTTCTGTACTGCTGAACTATACCTACAGTTCTGTTCTTTTGAGAGGGTTTTTCTGTGTAGCCCTGCCTGTCCTGGAACTCACTGTAGACAAGGCTGGCCTCGAACTCAGAGGTCTGCCTGCCTCTGCTTCTTGAGTGCTGGGATTAAAGGCGTGGGCCACTGCCTGGCAACCTGCAGTTTTAATGTACCTTTCTATTGAGTAGGAATTATTTTAATTTTTCCTGCCCTTTCTGTTTTCATTTTTTTGAGATAGGGTCTTATTAGGTAGCTCTAGCTGGCCTGGAGTTGATTAATATTCTCATTGCTGAATATGTGCTTTGTTTCTAACTTTTCCTTTTAAAAGCTTTTTTCTCTTACATTTATTTATTTACTTTGTGTATGCAGGTGTGTGCGTATGCCACACGTGGTGGGCATGGTGGAGGTCAGAGGACAACTTGTAGGAATTTGTTCTCTCCTTACACCATGTGCGTTCCGAGGAGTGAACTCAGATTGGCATGTTGGGCAGCAGGCGCCTGAACCTGGTGAGCCATCTTCCCGGCACTCTCTTGTGAGGCAGTCTGGCTGCATATTCCTGTTGTCATCACATTTGCTGTGGTGCTCCTTCGCCAGTCTCTCAAGTGCTGGGATTATAGGCATGTACTACTGTTCTCAGCTAATTTAAATCTTTTTTTTAGTTACGTTTATTTTGTGTGTGTGTGTTTATATGTGTGTACGTGTTTGTGTGTGTACCTACATATGGAGGCCTAAGGTAAATGTCAGATGTCTTCTCTATCACTCTCTTTCTTATTTAAATTTTTTTAGATTTATTTATTTTATTTTATATGCATGAGTGTTTTGCCTGCATGTATGTGTGTGGAGGTCAGAAGAGAGCATAGGATCTCTTGGAACCAGCGTTAGGGGTAGTTGTGAGCCACCATGTAGGTAAGAATTGCAGGCCAACGGTTTCCAGGAACTCCTTCCTTCCCTCTCCTCAGAGTCTTGGGATTGCATTTCTGTGTCAGTGTCCAGCTTTTTACATGGGTGCTGGGCACTCAAACTCAGGTTCCCATATGTTTAGGACAGATAGTTTACTGACTGAGCCATCCCCTAAGCCCTAGTTTCCAACTTAAAAAAATTACTTTTGCTGTGCTGGGTTTGAACCCCGAACCTCTCACATGCTAGGCATGAACTCTGTAACTAACTGTATTTCCAGCCCCTGGTTTTTCATCATGTTAAAGAATGCTGCTGTGAAATTTCTCATACACATATCAGTAGCAGGCTTTCTCAGACTACCAGCCTCCAAATACAGAGACTTCTTATAGTTATGAATGCTCGGCCTTAGTTTATGCTTGTTTCTAGCTAGCTCTTATAACTTAATTTAACCTGTTTCTCTTCATCTACGTTTTGCCTTGGATCTTTGTACCTTTCTTTCCTTCTGTATGTCCTATTTTCCTGCTTCTTCCATGTCTGTCTATCTGGCCCCACGCATCTCCCCCTCTTTTATCCACCTTCTCTCTCCAGCCTAGATTCCTCCTCCTACTTATTCTCGCTGCCTGCCAGCCCTGTCTATCCCACCTCTGCTTTTTATTAGTCCACTGAGGTGCCTTAGGCAGGCAAGGTGCAACAGCAACACAGTTTTACCTAGTTAAGCAAATGCAGCATAAACAAAAGTAACACATCTTTACATAGTTACAGTAATATTCCACAACACTTATCTGTACCCTTATGAAAGTGGTTTTGTAGTATTGTTTCTAGAAGTGAGATTGCTGTGCTAGTCTCCCTGTTGTAGAAAGCAGAGTTCTCTTCAAGTCTGCAGCTGCTCCTGTTCAGAGTTTTTGTCTAAAATGGCAAGAATTTTTGTCTGGTGTATGTTTGCCTTATGATGATATGATGATAAGTACAGTTTAGCAATTACTAATTCTTGAGATTCCTCAGAGATTTCTGTCTCTCTCTCTCTTTTTTTTTTCCTTTGATGGGTTTCTCTACATAGCCTTGGCTGTCCTGGAACTCTGTAGACTCTGTAGACCAGGCTGGCCTCAATCTCAGAGACGCAGAGACTTGCCTGCCTCTTTCTCCTGAGTGCTGGGAATAAAGGTGTGTGTCACCACTGCCTGGCTTGGTTCAGGATCTTTATAGGTGAAAGGTTATCTTGCTTTAATGTGGGGGAAAAGTTGTTGGTGTATGGTATTGGAGAGAGGCAATCTTTTCCCACCATTGCGAGACATTTGCAAACCTGGCCTCTGTGTCTGGCTCTTTACTCCTGGCCTTCCATAGAGTTAGGTCTGCAAGCTTGTGGACAAACTTACTTTGGAGTTCAGATAACCTCCCATAGTTGTGGAGGATGTTGAACCACCATTGTGGCTTCTTTCTGCCCCTTGAAAATTCCTCAGAGTCTTTCGTTGTTCCTCACAGCAAATAGGAATCCAAGTGGACTCCGCTTCCCTCGTTGCTGACAGACAGTGAATGCTTCCTGAGCTCAGCACTTGCCAGGTACAGAGGGAGTCCTGGAAAGCTGAGAAACAAGCCTTCCCCAAGGAGCTGACCGTGGTGTAATGAAAGGCAGTCTAGAGCAGAGCTGTGGAGCTAGGCTGAGCGGCACATGCCTGTAATCCTAGCACTCAGGAGCTTAGGCAGGAGGATTACTGCAAATTAGAAGCCAGCCCAGGTTACATAGTGAGTTCAAGGTCAATTAGGGCTACATAGCAAGACTGTCTAAAAAAGAAGAAAAATAGAGGAAAGCTGTGAGCTGCATGACAGAACAGGGCTCCGCAGAGGTGTGTTGAGTCACCACCTTAGTGACGTGAGGAACAGTTCAGGCTTTGACCTGCTGAGGTCAGGTTCTGCTGGGCCCAGATACTTCTGAAATCTTTACTGTGTAATGAAAAGATCCTTGGGTGGAGAGCCACGAGACAGGAGTCCATGCTTGTCCACCACAGTTTGAGAGGCTTTGCACAAGTCTCCCTCCCTCTCTTGGCTGATCCTTTCTGTAGTGTCAAGGAAGACAGCGGTGCCTAGTGCTCACTCCCTCTGCTACTGCCCAGCATGCTTGGGCTTCCTGGAGGAGTGGTTTCGATCAGTCTAGAATCTGAAGGTGTAGAGCAGACCCTGGAGAATCAGTCAATTTCTGTGTTAGCTTTGTGACCTGGTATAACATGACCCAGGGGAGTCTCTTCCCTGAGGCTGCTTGCTCACTCATCCTGTCTACTCCAGTACCCATGCTGGCTACTAAGTTGGGCACATACACAAGAAAGCTCAAGGAATAGGTTCTTCCCAAGTTTTTGCCAGTCTCCGCCATTTTCCCTATGTCTTCATTTTCACTCCATCACTTTGGGAAGAGAAGTTAACAGATGTGATTGGAGTTGAGCATTCAGAGACAGGTGAATTTCTGTGAGTTTGAAGCCAGCCTGGTCTACGTAGTTCCAGGTTAGTCAGGGCTACATAGTGATGTGATTGGAGTGTGGAGCTGCTGTGATCATCTGGAGGGTATTACCTATGGCCCCTAGCTTTTTGGAGCTGCCACCTTTTCCAATTTCAACCCTTATTTGAATGGTAGAGTGCTGATAGCAGTCTGTTATTACCTCTGAAGTGTTTCTGCTTGGAATAAACATGGTGCTTTATTGCTAACCTCAGATCTTTGTGCAGGCTTTGTTTAAAGTGAAAAGTCAGGGTTTGGGTTTTTTTTTAGGTTTTTCGAGAGACAGGGTTTCTCAGCTGCCATGGAACTCCCTCTGTAGACCAGGCTGGTTCCAACTCACAGAGATCTGCCTGCCTTTGCCTCCCAAGTACTGGGATTAAAGGCGTGCACCACACCCCACTGAGGGTGTTTTCTTGATAAACCTTATTTTTCTCATCAAGTGTGTATGTAGAGATAGCTAATTAGTTGTAAATCTAGAGTTACCATTACTCAGCTGGAAGAAGTGATTTCTGAGTGTCCCCACGGTGGATCACCCATGCAACTTGTATTCCTTCTCCTTAGTGGTAGATGTTGCTTACCATGTGGGTTTGAGGATCAGGAACCAGAGGCCTGTGCTTTGCCCAAGAACTATCTTCTTCCTGGGTTTCAATACATGTGTTTTCCTGAAGGAAGAGAGGAGTCTGCAAAATTGTTGGTTCATAGTTCTAATCATTGACCTGTATCAGAAGGAATCTACTTTCTGAATGTCTTTGTTTAAACATGATGTTCTAATTTGGGAGGACTGGTCCAGCAATCTGAGTTAAATTCCCAGGACAAAAAAAAAAAAAAAAATTCCCAGGACCCACATAGCGGAAAGAGAGAAGGAGGTTACTCTGAACTATTCTCTTCTCCTAATTCCCCTCTCTCTCTCTCTCTCTCTCTCTCTCTCTCTCTCTCTCTCTCTCTCTCTCTCTTTCTCTCTCTCTCTCTCTCACACACACACACACACTCAAACAAACAAATAAATAAGTAAATGTAATAAAAATTTTAAACTTGAAGATTAAACATAAGTCTGTGTGGTCTCTCCTGGGTATTTTGGTAATACCAAACCCTGGAGATGAGTTGTTGCCTTTCATGTAAGGAAAGGTTAACTTTAGTCTGTTGAGAACCATATTGGTATACTAAGTAAATCTGAGCTCTTAGTCTGTGTGCTCCAAATTCTCCCTTTATGTCTGATGGATTTGCTTTGTTTTGTTTTTACCTTTTTTTCTTTCTTTCTTTTTTTTTTTAAATAATTTATTTAACTTTATTTTATGTGCATTTGTGTGAAGGTATCAGATCCCCTGGAACTGGAGTTACAGACAGTTGTGAACTGCCATGTGGGTGCTAGGAATTGAACCTGGGTCCTCTGGAAGAGCAGCCAGTGCTCTTAACCGCTGAGCCATCTCTCCAACCCCAGTTTTTACCTTTTTTTCTATCTCCATGTGTGTGTTTGTGTGTGTGCACATGCGGGTACACCCATGTGTGTGTAGAGGTCAGAGGTTTTGTCTGTTGTGGAGGTTAGGGAACAACTGTTTTTTTCTTTTCCCGAGACAGGGTCTCACTATGTAGCCCTGGCTGTCCTGGAACTCACTCTGTAGACCAGGCTAGCCTCGAACTCACAGAGATCCACTTGCTTCTGTCTCCTGAGTGCTGGGATTGCGCCGCCACTGCCCAGCTATAAAATTATTCTTGTTGCTATTTCTTTTTTTTTAAGATTTATTTATTTATTATGTATACAGTGTTCTGTCTGCATGTATACCTACATGCCAGAAGAGGCCACCAGATCTCATTACAGATGCTTGTGAGCCACCATGTGGTTGCTGGGAATTGAACTCAGGACCTCTGGAAGAGCAGTCAGTGCTCTTAACCGCTGAGCCATCTCTCCAGCCCCTGTTGCTATTTCTTAACTGTAATTTTGCTACTGATATGCAGGATATCTGATATGCAACCCATGTGAAGGGTTGTTTGACCCCCAAGTTGAGAGCCACTGCTCTGGTACTGCTCACATCTTTATTTTATTTTATTTTTTTCCAAGACAAGGTTTCTCTGTGTAATAGCTGTGACTGTCCTGGAACTCACTCTGTAGACCAGGCTGGCCTCGAACTCACAGAGATCCTCCTGCCTCTGCCTCCTGAGCGCTGGGATTAAAGGCGTGCGCCACCACCACCCAGCTGCTCAAGTCTTTAATTCCATCTCACTGTTGGGCCACACTGTGATTAGCCCATTTAGATCACTTTGACCATTGTTAGTCCAACCTTACACTTCTTTCTAAATTAACTCTCTCTTTATAAACTATTTGGTAATTCTCCATCACTTCACAAGAAGGCCTAGTCCTCACTATAACCTAGTTCCTGCTAATCTTCCAAAACTTCATGCTCAGCTTTATATCACTATAGTGCCCATTCCCAGGCTTACTCTAGACTTCTGGGCCTTGAAGTATGTTTACTCTCTCTGTTTGAATCTCCATTCCTTACCTCTGCTGACTTGACTCTTTTTGGGGGGTATAGGGAGGGCAGAGCTTGAGAATCAAACCCAGGGCCTTGTGCATGCTAGAAAAATACTGTGCCATGGAGTGTATATATACCTCAGCCTCTCTCTGCTCTCTGTGAATCCAGAGCTGTAGCCCAGGTTGGCCTTGAACTTTTAGTGATCCTCTTGCCAGTCTCCTGAAGGTTACAATTACTGTTTGAGCCAACATGCCCCATTACTTGATCAATTCTTGCCTTCCCTAACACTATGTATCACTCTACATATGGCAACTACTATTTCTCAGGCTTAACACCATGCTCTATTGAAATCTACTATTTACTGGGCATGGTGGAACATGATTGTAATTCTAGCATTGGGCTATATATTGAGTTCAAGGCCAGTCTAGGTCACATAAGACTCTTATCTCAAAAAAGGAGAAAAGAGTTCCAGGTTAGTCTGGGCCACATAGAAAGACCCTTTCTCAACCTAATCTTAACCAATTTCTATAAAAAATATGTTTCTATGTATAGTGGCAATTAATGAGGCAATTCCACGTAGTTTATTTGATAGTCAAAAGGGGTTTATTTTGAGTCAACTGCCATCAAGCAAAGGGGTTGGTAACGGGATCCAGCAGAGGTGAGGTACAGTCAACATGGTTCTCTGGAGAACTCTGACTTGGTTTGCAGTCCGGCATGCAGCATCCAGGATCATGAGGTAGCCTGGAGAGTGAGCACATACACATTTCAGGTCTTAAGGGGTTCCCATCTCAGCCATGTACCGGGTGGGGGCAGGTGCCTAGCAGTTACCTGCTGCCTCCTAGGGGCGGTGCTTCAGGGGTGAAGCACAGACAATCACCCCTACATCTATGCTTTTTCTCTTTCATTTAAATTTAATAGTTATTGATCATATCTTATATTTTTGTGTTTTAAAAGGAAACAATAGAAACTCGAGAGTCGGCTCTGCTAAGAGCACACACTACATTTGCAAAGGACCCGAGTTCGATTCCCAGCACCCACACCAGCTGGTTCACAGTCACCTGTAACTCCAGCTCCAGGGCATCCGACATCTCCTTCTGGCACCTGCACTCATGTGCACATCCCTCCCCCATAATTAAAAACAAAAAACTAGAAGTAGACATATTGGAACATTCCTTTATTCCTGCCTGTAATCAATAGGTGTTTGATAAATGTTTCCTTTAGTCATTTTACTACCAAGTCTGTCTATCAATTAATAGGAAATTCCCAGCTGTCTTCAATCCATGGGTCCTTAGAGGGTCAGTGTAGGTAAAAAAGGTAATGACTTCTGCAAAGCATTGGCAAAGTAACATTAGCACTTCTACATGTGTAGTGCCACTCAGAAGGTAGAGGCAATCAGATTTCTGTGAGTTTGGGGCCAGCCTGCTCTACATAATGAGTTCCAGGTTAGCCAGGGTACATAGTTAGTCCCTGTCTCAAAAAGGTGGTATGGGGTGAACAAGGTATTCTGATGTACAGCCACCATCATACTTGTTCTGTCTGAGCTCAAGGTCCCCTCTGTTTCTTGAAGCACAAATTTGTTTTGGAGCTACCTAGTGACATTGTGCCAAGATTTCTGGTCTCAAGTGCTCTGGAATAGATTTTCGCCATGTGGTAAACTGGGCAAATATGAGACTATGGAACAGGGTAACTGCCAAAGAGAAGACTGTACAGGAGGAAGGCTGTAGAAACCACACAGGAAAGAGTGAAATAAAAACAGACTCAAGGTAGTTTGGCTGTTGTATTGGCTCCACCTCTGTAGGAAGATAACGACTGAGAAGCTCGCCATGGAGACCTTGGAGGAACAGCTTTCTGAGTTCTTATGGGTGGTGATGCTGGAAGAGGTCTCCAGCATTCTACATCCCTGTTTCAGAAAAGATGAGTCACAATAATGAGGAGTGATTTTAGCATTTAGGAAATATGACTTCAGCTAGAAGGGCCAGGAAGACTAAAGAGGATATGAAGGACCCAACAGCTGTGCCTGGTGAATGTTCTTGCCCTCTCTTAGACTTGAAGAACAGCATGAGACTGAGATCCAGGGAAATGTAAGGCAATGCCCTGAAGAGCAGACCTGGTCTTTTTCCTAGACCCTCCACTGAGATTGAGATCCAAGTTCTTTTTTTTTTTTTTTTTTTTTTTTTTTGTATTGTTTTGTTTGTTTTTTTCAAGACAGGGTTTCTCTTTGTAACAGCCCTAGCTGTCCTGGAACTCGCTCTGTAGACAAGGCTGGCCTCGAACTCACAGAGATCCGCCTGCCTCTGCCTCCCGAGTGTTATGTATGCAGGTGTTTTGCCTATATGTATGTCTATGTACCATGTGTGTGCCTCGTGCCATAGGAGGCTAGAAGAGGACATCCGATCTCCTGGAACTGGGGTTACAAACAACTGTGAGCTGCCATATGAGTGCTAAGAATTGAACTCTGGTCCTCTGGAAGAGCAGCCAGTGTTCTTAAACTGCTGAGCCATCTCTCCATCCCCTACTCCTAACTTCTTAAGAAGTCAAAGACATCCTTTTGCAGGGTATTGTGTCAGTCAATTTTTGTTTGTTTTTGGACAGAGTCCAGTAGCATTGGATGGCCCATTATGTTGCTTTGTAGACCAGTCTGGCCTTAAACTTGCATGATCTTCCTACCTCTGCCTCCAGAGTCTAGAATTACAGATATGCACCACTGTTGTCCTTCAGGGTTATCCTGACCATACTGACCCTCTCTTCTGTTTGTATAGGTGTAGACGGGGCACTGCCTACAGAGCAGGTCCTGCCAGCCTCGCTGGAGAGGATGCCCCCGTGTCCGTGATGGGCTGTGGGACAAGCAAGGTCCTTCCTGAGCCACCCAAGGATGTCCAGCTGGATCTGGTCAAGAAAGTGGAGCCCTTTAGTGGCACTAAGAATGATGTATACAAGCACTTCATCACAGAGGTGGACAGTGTTGACCCTCTCAAAGCTGGGTTCCCAGCTACCAGTCAGTATGCACCTCCTTGCCCTGGTGTTCCCACTACTGGCCACACAGAGCCTCCCTCAGAACCACCACGCAGGGCCAGGGTCGCAAAGTACAGGGCCAAGTTTGACCCACGTGTGACAGCTAAGTATGATATCAAGGCCCTGATTGGCCGAGGCAGCTTTAGCCGAGTGGTACGTGTGGAGCACCGGGCAACCCGACAGCCATATGCTATCAAGATGATTGAGACCAAGTACCGAGAGGGGCGGGAGGTGTGTGAGTCTGAGCTCCGAGTGCTGCGCCGGGTGCGCCATGCCAACATCATTCAGCTGGTGGAAGTGTTTGAGACACAGGAGCGTGTATATATGGTGATGGAGCTGGCCACTGGTGGTGAGCTCTTTGACCGGATTATTGCCAAAGGTTCTTTCACTGAGCGGGATGCCACAAGAGTGCTGCAAATGGTACTGGATGGTGTCCGGTATCTGCATGCCCTGGGCATCACACACCGAGACCTCAAGCCTGAGAATCTCCTCTACTACCACCCAGGCACTGACTCTAAGATCATCATCACTGACTTTGGCTTGGCCAGTGCCCGAAAGAAAGGTGATGATTGCTTGATGAAGACCACCTGTGGCACACCTGAGTACATTGCTCCTGAGGTCCTGGTTCGAAAACCCTATACCAATTCCGTGGATATGTGGGCACTGGGTGTTATTGCCTACATCCTACTCAGTGGCACCATGCCCTTTGAGGATGATAACCGCACCCGGCTGTACCGGCAGATCCTCAGGGGCAAATACAGTTATTTGGGGGAGGTGAGTTTGTCTTGCTTCTGTTCCAGGAATGTTAGGGGGGCCCTCAGTGGGAAGGTATAACCTCTAACTCGTGGTCAGTGGGATTTGCTTTCAGGGTACTGCTCATGGGGGCCAGTGTAGAAATGACAGGGTCTAGCAGAGTGCCCTGGTTTAGATTCTCCTAAACGTAAGCTTTGAGGTGAGGACTTGGAAGCAGAAAATTTATGTGGGAGGTGGTTAAGTAAAGACGGGGAAAGTGATCAGGAAAAGATGAAGTGGAAAGAGATCAGTCTAATGAACAAGTACATTAAGAAATGGGCTGGCCAGGCTGGTCTCCATATCAAGTTCCAGGCCAGCTAGTGAGCCCTGTCTCAAACAAAACAAAAGAAGTGGGCTGGGACTGGGGAGATGGCTCAGCTAGTTACATGCTTGCCATGTAAGCACAAGGACCTGAGTTCTGGTCCCCAGAACCCATGTAAAAGAGTTGGATGTAGTGGCATGTACTTGTCATCTGAGTACTGGGGAGCCAGTGGTGGGAGGATCCCTCTAGCCAAATTGCTGGATTCCATATTCAGTGAGAAATCCTGTTTCAAAAAATAGGGTGGGGAATGATAAAGGAAATCACCCCACCCTCTGACCTCATCATACATATGCATGTGTACCTGTACATACACACATGAACGCATGTACACCCAGACACCACACACACAGAAGTGAACTGCCACTTGGGCTACCACTGTGGGATACTGGAAATTAGTCCCACTTTCAGCCTTATGAATAATTATGTGGAATGTGTCATAGAAACGTATCACCAAAGAGCAAGTGTGTGTGTTTAAGTGTAACTACCGTACCTTATGAGTAAAGAGTTTCTTTTGTGGGAGGTGGGGACTGGAGAGGTGGTTCCGTGGTTCAGAGTGCATATTGCTCTTGTGGAGGTCCTGGGTTCCATTCCCAGCACCCATGTTGGTCAGCTTGCAACCACCTATATAACTCCAACTCCAGGGACCCACCTCCGTGGGCAGCAGCATACACGTGCACATGCCTCCACACACACATATTCATAATTAACAGATAAAAAATCTTTAGAATTTCTTTTTGGCATTAAATCCCTTATGTTTCTTGCCTATCTTGAATGTTAAGAAGTGGTGGATAAAGCCCTCAAGTAGAGAGGCAGAGAGATGCAGGCACTGGCAGTGGGGTGCTGGCAGTGGGGTACTGGCTGTGGGGCGCTGGCAGTGGGGCGCTGGCTGTGGGGCGCTGGCAGTGGGGTGCTGGCTGTGGGAAGCAGGCAGTGGGGCGCTGGCAGTGGGAAGCTGTGACTAGCTAGGCCTAGTAGCTGCAGGTGAGCTCAGAGGTGAATGTGGGGTAGCATCTATCCAGTGTCTGTTCCACTGAGTATCACATAAGCTAGAATGAATATGCCCCATCCTCAGGAACAGTTTCTTATCTCTGTTTAGTTTTGCCAGACAACAATAAGGACCCCATGTGTCCTCATCTTTTGATTTTTAAAAGAGAAACCAGATCTGATCTTAAGATGTAGAAGTTAGTTTGCTTTTGTTTTGAGACAGTCTCATATAGCCCAGACTAGCCTCGCACTCAATATATAACCAAGGCTGGCCCTTCAACTTTTAATCCTCCTGCCTCTGTTTCTTAAATGCTGGGATTACAAGCATGCACCACCATACCTAGCTTTAGCTCACATATTTAAATGGTGAGTTATATACCAACAAATGCTAAGCATGTGCCAAATTCAAATAGCAACCTATCCAGTTTGTGTATCCAGGTCCATGGATGCTTCTGACACTTGCAAAAAATATTGTCAGATTTTAGCATTGCTGGTTGTTAAAGGGAGGTGCAAAGAGTCATTGCTGGTTGCTCTTCAGAAGGATGCTGACTGGGTAGGAGATGAGGCTGACCGCAGCGAGAGTGCCTGTGTGCTTGTGGAAGAGTGTACCGTGCTTCGTGAGGAGCAGGAGCCGAGATTTACAGGGCTGTAGGACTCTGGCAAGACAGTGAGGGCCCCTCCCCCAAAGTACAGAGTGCTCCCCACAGGGCCGGGGCTGCCACGGGGCTGCTATTGGTGTCTTTGCCTCTTTTTGTTGTTATTTGATTTGTGTTTTACTTTTTTTTTTTTTTTTTTTTTTGGTTTTTCGAGACAGGGTCTCTCTGTGTAGCTTTGCGCCTTTCCTGGAACTCACTTGGTAGCCCAGGCTGGCCTCGAACTCACAGAGATCCGCCTGGCTCTGCCTCCCGAGTGCTGGGATTAAAGGCGTGCGCCACCACCGCCCGGCCTGTGTTTTACTTCTTAATGCTTTATTTATTATTGTGTATGTGCATAATGTGAGTGTGTGGGTATGTGCATGCCACAGCATGTATGTAGAGGTCAGAGGACAACTTTGTGGAGTAGGTTGTCTCTTTACACCTTTGTGTAGATTCTGGGAATCAAACTCAGATCATGCTTTACCTACTGAGCACATTTAAGTGCCCCCTTTGCTTTGTTTTTTTGAGGGAGAGTCTCATGTAGTCCAGAGTGACCTGAAGTTCTATGTAGCCAAGGATGGCCTTGAACTGCTAATCTTCCTGCCTCCACCTCCCAAATTCTGGGATTAGAGGTGTGCATCGCCACTGTCAGCTGCCATTTCTGCCTTTTTTTTTTTTTTTTTTTTTTTTTTTTTTTTTTTTTGTAACCTGCACAGAAGGGAAGGATTTCTGGGAGCAACTGTCTTCTGTGACCTAGCTTTCCTCCCAGGGATTTGGGCCTGGCCTCTCTCATCCCCATCACCTGGCTCAGGACAGTGTTCTTGTAAGAGTCACCCAGGGTCTCATATCACTCACTCTGTCTCATGCTTGGGATCCCATGCTCTATCAGCCTCCCTGGTAGTTTGCAGATGAAGTTGTGGGGTTAGTCAAGGATGTCCCTTTCTCAGGAATGGAGCTGCTCTTCTTTAGGAGGGTCCCCAGGTGATATGTTTCCAAGGTGGCAATGATTTGAGGACAGAAGCCTTCCTCTTCAGTGCAGCCCTGTCACAGGCACCATTTACGAGAGGGTGATAACTGTTTACCCGGACACCTATGTATGGTCTCTGGAGTAAAGGGTTATTATAGGACACCTGATACTTTCCACAGGGTGTCAACACCATGGAAAGCTCATGCCTGGTCTGTTCTTTGGAGATTTGAAGTGAATAGGTATGTGATTCAAAAGTTGATTCTCACATACTTGTGCTCAACAGCGGAGGATGCCACAGGTCAGCCAGGGAATCCTGTAGAGGCACTCAGAAAGTTCTGTGGTCTTGATCGGAGGCTCAGGGATTGCATTAGGTTATAGCCGAAACTGATGCTTTAGTTAGAGCATGAATGTTTGAAAGTTGGAAGGCTACTTCTTTTTTTTTTTTTTTTTTCCTGGAGCTGAGGACCGAACCCAGGGCCTTGTGCTTGCTAGGCAAGCGCCCTACCTCTGAGCTAAATCCCCAACCCCGGAAGGCTACTTCTATTCTGAGCTTTGTATGGTGTCAAGCTGCTGAGGGTCCCTCCAGATGACAGGGCAGCATGGAGCTTAGCTAGAGGAGGGAACAAGAGAGAGTATGTGTTTCACAAGTGGAAAGACTTGAGAAATCTGTGAGGACACCTAAGAATCTCTGATCCTGGCAGTTGTTGATCAAGCAGTTTATTTAATTGGAGCTTGCACAGTCTGCCTACCTAGCTATTGATAATCTGAGCATGGGGGAATAACAGAGGAGAGGAGTAGGGATGTACTCAGGCCTCCTGCTTCTTCTGGAATTCAAAGACTAGAACCAGAGATTCTGCTCTGCTCCACTGGAGTCATGGGCCATGAGGCTGGACTCTTAGTGTGAGTGTAGGAGCTGGGCAATACCCAGTCTTTGCCTCCACTAACCTCTAGTTGGAGTTGAATGCATCAGTTCCTAGTTCAGAGTCAAATTCCTGGCAGACCCTGGTCACATTTTTCTGCTAACATGAGCTTGGCTGACCCCAGAACAGATCTACTATCTACCCTTTGTGGGAAGCTTTGAAGCGATTTGTCTGGGTGTTGCCTGGGAGAAGTGGTTTCCTTGCTAGATCTGATCCTCTGTGCGGAGACCAGTTCTCTTTGTCCTGCTGGTCACTGCCTACCCACAAGCATATCTGGGAAAAATACAAGAGACATGAAAATCTGTACCCCATCTCTGGGGAGCTGGAAGTTGCTTGAGGAGAGAGAATTAGAACAGGAATTGTGGCAGGATGAATCCTTTTTGGCAAGCACGTGTCCCCAAAGACCTGGCATAAAGAGTCATTGGGTGTGGACGGTCTAGAACATGGGCTGTGTGTCTCAGGTCAGGTTGCTGGGCCCGGCCCTCTCACACCAGCCATCTATTGTGTGTTGTGTGATGCCTGTTTGTCTCCATGCCTGCTAATGGAGCAAGGCCCTACCAGAGGAACTTGCCTGGTTGTTGAAGGGATGCTGCTGTGAAGAGAGGAGCTCCCATTGTGAGCTCAGCGAGGTGTGGCAAGAGGCATTTCCTCACTATAAAGTAAGTCTCTTGGTCCTGGTGCCTTTCTAGAGAAACTTTCCTGTATTCTGTCCCCTCACAGTGGTGTTTCCTGTACACCAAGCCCTGTCTGGTGTCCTTATTCCTTGCAGGGTTTTGTCTACACAGCCAACAGAAGGCTCCTGCATAGGTAGACTCGGAAAAGGGAACCTGACTGACTGAGCTCCAGGGGTGAGCAGCAGTGAAGGAGGCTGAGGGCTTGTTTTGGGGAACCCTGTGCTGCTGAGACCCCCAGTTTCTTTTTTTTTTTTTTTTTTTTTGGTTTTTCGAGACAGGGTTTCTCTGTGTAGCTTTGCGCCTTTCCTGGAACTCACTTGGTAGCCCAGGCTGGCCTCGAACTCACAGAGATCCGCCTGGCTCTGCCTCCCGAGTGCTGGGATTAAAGGCGTGCGCCACCACCGCCCGGCGACCCCCAGTTTCTTGACAGGACACATGTGGCAGAAGGTGTTCCAGGAGATGCCTAATTAATTGGATGGT